AAACGACGCGTAGTATTTATGCTGGGTTACCCGGTTGAGAAGTTTTTACATTCTCACTAGTTTTACGATTCTTCCGCGAAAGCCAAACATTCGAAATGAAAATTTCACAGAAATTCTAAGCTATTTATAATTACTATTTTAACTTCTGCTGCTTTTTACACTCTAAAACCTAACGGAAAAAAATTGCTTCTCTTCTCCCTGCCAATAATGTTGGCAATCATTGACTTGTTCCAATTGCTTTACTCCGGTATCCGTTTAAAACAACTGGTATCAACTCATTTCACTCATGAAACTATGTTATTTTTAAAAGATTTACATCCCAGAAACGTTAAGTAGCTTGAATGTTGCGTGAGCCACGGGTAATCCCAGCCATTGATTAAAGCGGTTGATTTTGACATTGCCGGTAGCCGGCGAGGCAAAACCAGTCACTTCAAATTCCGGGAAACCAGGGTAGTTTAATTCAGTCTGATTGTCCAATGGTTAACTGCTCGCTTTGATTGCTGCCTCGCGGGGCTTCGAGCTCCGCCCCCCCCCCACGCCCGGGACCGCCCCGCCCCGCTACCTGCGTCCCGCTGGCAGCCCGCGCTTCACCGCACCTTCTACACCACCGCCCCCGTCCCGACATCACGCCCACTACCACCTTCGACCTGTGCCGCTCACGCATCCATGCCCGCCCCGCAACCCCCTCACTGCTGTCCCTCGCGCGCCACCCCTCACCCCGCCACTCCAGGTTCCACATTCGCGCGCACCCCAGTCCCTTCCGCTGCACGGCCCCCATTCCTCCCGCCCCGCCTCTCCCTCTCCCCTCCACCCGACGCCGCCACAGCGAAGCCACCGTCCCTGCCCTCGCCGCTACCTCCACCCTCAGCTAACGGCGCCACGCTCTCCCTCTTCCACACCGTTCTCGCCCTCGGCCCCGATGCCTGCCCCAGCGCCGCAATCTCCTCTGACCCGCGCCGCTCCCGCTTCGTTCCGCACCGCCCCCGCGCCCAACGAGCGGGACAGTCGAAGTCGCTGCCTCGATGTGCAGATACAGAAGGTTGCCCGATGCCTTTGAATCCGCCTGTCAAATACGCCAACACTCAGGCTATCAGCCTTTGACTCCAGCAGACCGCACACAAAGCGAGTGCGCCATCCAGCCCCAGACCTCTGGCCTCACACGGCACAAACGCAGACAGACGCGCCACTCCTTCACAGTTGCTGCCCACGCCCGACGCCGCGACGCCGCCTTCGTGTACACGCCTCCCCACACATCACTACAATATTTTAATTTCCTCTTCAGAAACTGGGTCATAAGCAGGTCTCAATTATTCATCAAGGGGCTTCTGTACACAACTTTGCATTTCATCCCCCCTGTAATGGAGATGGACGCTGCGGCGTTGGATCCAGTCTCTAGGGTCGTGTAATCTCGATGAGCAGCGTGCCCAAGCCCACAATGCCTAATCCGCGCCAAGCTAGAGCCCTTGCCATACCATAAAAGTAGCAGGCCCCTTCCGAGGAGGAATTTTCCGAGGATAATCTAATGAAACGAAATCGCTCCGCGTTAGAAGGAAGCGATACGATGTTTCTCGTCCCCTGATAGGCGCGAAGCAGCTCGTTTCGTTTTGTATTGCCGCGTTTCTGTACGTGACCATTGTAATGGGATCCTCGGAGAAAAATGATTTTAATTATCGTCTCGTTATGTCCTGTTTAGATGCTCTGGACGTCGCCGTGTGTAATTGGGTACGCGCGATAGTGCTGCGCTGTTCTAGACGGACTTAAAAGAGCCGAGAGGCCGTTCCGCCGCCGCGCGAAGACCTTCGCAACGCCCGCTCGCGCGCGCGAAGGCACAGGAGACCGCG